GTCATAATCATCATCATTAGGTTGTGTGAGCAAACTAACCAATTACAGTCTACCATTCAAGCTTATGAAAGATAATACTGGTTTGTAATTGGTTGAATTACTTACGACTTTATAATTCTGAAAAACCTTAACAAATTGACTATATCTTTTGATCTTCTAAACAAGCAATTTATTGAACGGCTATTGCTTTTAGCCGCGCACAAGGCCATCACACATAAATTATGTGAGAACATAAGGCTGCTTCTACATGGAATGTAATTTGCGTCAATCCAATCAAATTGTCTCAGCTATCATACGCAAATACGTTAAGACAATTTGATTGGCTGATACGCAAGTTACGCTCTATATAAAAGCAACCTAAAACCTAAGATTACTCGACTAAGNCTGCGTTCCGATATTCACTGCCAGTACTGAAAATCTATAGCATATGTGACGTGAACACACTTGTTCAGCAGAATAAATTAATCACGACTGATACTTACTCGGCCGATTACGTTAATCGGAAATGATAAAACTATATAAGAGTTACTGCTTTAATTTGTCTACGTGCTATCTGCTTTTCTAGATCTCTAGACAATAATATTAAACAAAGTTTCTATTAAAAATCATAAGTGTATTTTCAGATGTTGTACAGATCATTTCATTGGCTACGGAACATCCGATTATAAACGTAAAACACTAGCCGCGTTCAGCAGACAAAACAGTTGCACAACGGTTGAGAGATAATCACTTTTGATAGGACTAATCTTCACAACTTGCTACGGTTCTAAAAGTATGATCCAATCATAATTGATTATCTCTTAATCATTGTACAACAGTCTGCTGAACGCGGCCAGTTCTATTTACAGATTCAATAAATAATGGCTTAAGGCCACGTGAAAAATGCATGCACGCATGTACATGTCTCCCGCGCTTTTCTCACATATATTTTACTTATCTTACGAAGTGTCGTTGTATGTAGCTCTACTGTTCTTGTTGTAAAATCGCTTTTGTTGTACTGTTGTTCTTGAATTATCGCTTTTGTTGTATCTGTTGCTCTTGAAGTTTTAAATAACTCTTCTCTTAAAAAAAACATATATAAAAAAATTTGCAAAGAACAGTGTTCTTTACCAAAGGAGACAGACAATAGAATATTTTTGCTTATTGTCTACGTTCGATATCAACAGTAAGTAATAGCCATAACCATACCGGTGTTAGGTAGATTTTTATATTTCTTGAGATATATTACTGTGTTTAATTGTGTTAAGTAAAGT